TTTTTTTTTATAAAAAAGAAGAAGTAATGGTTAGATTATCATTATCAGTTGTAACAAATTATTATTCTATTTTATAAATTATCGTATTAGGATTGCTACGTAATTCACTTACTTTTTATAAGTCAATTTAATCTAATACTATATATATTAAAAAAAAAGAATTATGCACAAAATGTAAACTATATATTAATTATTATTGGCATATACTATAAGGTTTCCCCAACTCTATTAGAGACATCCCAACGGCCACAAATTGATACGCAAATAAACATTATAAGATACTTAAGAAAATACCCGAGCTTCTATTTAGCAGAGTCTTCTATATAGCTAACGATCGATGGAAATTACAAAATTAGAGAGAGACACTTTTATTATTATAGAAGTTACAGATTCGATAGGATTCAGTATTTTGTCTTAAAATCATGTGTTTGTCTTAAGAAAAAAATTACTTGAATATGTATAAATAATATATTATGAACTCAATCATTATATTTATCGACATGTCTCAAAATCCAGAACTTATATATATATATATATATATATCTATACTACATTAAAAACATGAACTCCAAAAGAGCAATGTTAAATTACGTAAATACCCCTCACATAAAACTTATAAAGATTACGCAAATACCCTTAAATTTTAAAAAAAAAACCTAACTACGCATCCCTCCCGCAACAAACACCTTGCCTAGCCTACGAATAGACACCACTTTCCCTGGACAGACTCCACGCTTTCACTGGAAAGACACCAACTTTCCCCTGCAACTGCCCAACGTCTAAAAAATTACCAATCAACACAACCTCTGGAGATTTCTCTAATTATATCAGCCACCGGCACAACACCGTTTCCCAATAATAATTCAACTTGTGCATAAGACGCAAAGGTATGCCATTTTTCCTCTTCTGAAACAAGCCAAATTTTAAAAAACTCAAGTCTCACATATGCACTTTCTAATTAAATTAGGTGAATATTGATCATCCATCTGCAACCACATTACAATATTGGACTTGTCTTTTAAATATTTCACTCCGCATCAAAAGTTGTAAGTTTTCACTCTGTTTAAGTTTCCTGTTATGCTTTTCATTGGACTACTTGCAGCACATACATTGCTACAACATACTTACTTATTCCTTTGTTTTAACTACTACACACTGCGGCCTTGAATTACTATTGATATTCACTTTCCGCTATGCACCTCTAACCATCCAGATTCATCACAAATGGCGACCGAAACTGAACTATCAAAGCAGTGTGTCCCCATCAACAAGATACCAAAACACTCTGTTGATTGGGTGATGCGAGTATTAGTTATTCGCAAGGGTTCTGTAATTTCGTACAGCAATACTCGCCATGAAGGGACTTTCCAAACTGTAATATTAGTGGACGATGAGGTAACACTTTTGCTCAGCTTATATGTTATCGTTCCCATTTATTCCCGTTTTACTTCTCTAATGACATCACATATCGCTTACATCAATACTAGGGGACAAAGTTGCAAGCAACGCTATTTAACAAGCATATCGACACATGGAAAGACTTCTTGAAGACAAATAAGACGTACTACATTGCTAACGAGTTGTTGGATCGGGTTAATCCCAACTACACTTCCGTGCACAAAGAGATTGAACTGACCATTACAGATAACACAATCATAAGGGAGAGCGACCATGTTGTTTCAACACACAACTTCTCTAATGGTTTTGTATCTTTGGAACAGGCAGAGAAATTGCCTAATGGTGCCATATTTGGTAACTCTTCATACGACTTGTTAATAATTTTTGTCAATTACATCATACAGATCACTAATTTATATATCCGCTATTCAGACTTGCTTTGCGTGTTAGTTACGGTGAATCCCATCATTGAAAAAGGCGATAGCAAAAGACGCGAAATTGTTGTTACAAATGAACTGTAAGTTGCCCTTCTTTGTTCTCCACTGTCCATAATAATCTGGCAGTGCACTGACAGTACTTATCTAATTCATAATCCAGCATGGACTGTACGACTGTTACTCTGTGGGGAGATTTTGCACTAAACGACGGCGCCTTTCTTGAAAAGCTTAAAGATGACCAACCTATTCTAGGCTTATGTGACGTGCGAGTCTCAATCTATAAAGGTATAGACAACCTCTCCTATTTGCTGATTGTACAAATTTCAAGTATATTTGCTAATTTCTCGAATAAATATGTTGATTCCAATGTAGGGATTTTTGGGATATCAACTCTTCCCGTGAGCAGTGTGTTGATCAATCCAATCTTTCAAAAAGCACTAGATCTTCGCGCATGGTACAAAACCTCATTAACTAATATGCTCGACAATTTTTATTTACCGTTACTTCCACAACTTATGTTCAAACAAGAATTTAACAACATAGCCACAATTTGTTTATAGGGAGAACTATATACAACCATGCCTATCAAGTTAAATTTTAATCTAACAAATTTTAAACCCACAAACATTTCCTCAATTATGTGCTACAATTAACTCACCTCTTTCGATATACAGGCGTGAAGTCATAAAGGCCGAAAAGAAAGCTATCACAACCACACCAAGTAAGGTAATGAGAAAAGCCACAGAAGTGACATTACCCAATATTATGGATGGCACGCTTGCTGATACACAGGTACCTCCAAAACGACACTTTACCTATCCAAACAGGACCATTGTTTACCAAAAATAATGTTGTATATTGGCTATTAACAATGTCCAGGGAGCTTTATACAAGTTCAAAGCCAAAATTATAGACATACTCAATACAGATGAACCATGGTACTCGTCCTGCAAAAAGTGCCACAAGAAAGTGCAAGTTAAACAACATACAACGACATGTCCCAATTGCAACATCCAGAATGTGGAGTATGAAATGAGGTTAGACTTGCCTAAAATAAGCAATCAACATTTTATGATAATATACAACCAGTTTAACTATGAACTCTAACTTATTCACCTTATTTTAAAGATACTACTTACGGCTTGAAGTTTGTGCTGGAGAACAACGTGCTCGGGTTATACTATTTGATGCGGCACAAATGTTAGTAGGTTGCAATGTCGAAGAGTACATCAAAACAACCTCGGAAAATGTATGCCTTGTACTTCTAACATCTTACACCATATTTCAACGTACTTTAATCCCAACAATAAATAAGTGTATGACTAACTTTCAGAACTATTTTTATGCTAATATATCCAATTGTTGACATTTCTTACAGAAGGAAGAATGTATGTACTACCACAGATTGGTGTTGATTAAAGACAAGGAATTCAACTTCCTTGTCCGCATCGATATGAATAATTCAAACCCGCGAAGGAGTCTAATTGCTCAGGAAATACATGCCATTGAAGATGAAGCGGTAATTATAATGTCAGATGAATCAAAATCACTAACACCACCCACAAACAGGGGCAAGAAATCCACTGCGTTAGAAAGACATGTTCTTGAAGATAAATCACCAATCATAGTGGAAGAACCACAAAATGTGAGGCCGCGAAGGAAGAGGTCTAAGAAATCCAATGCGCTACATGTCCTTGAAGATGAAGCACCAAACATAGTGGCGGAAGTACAATCCGTAAGGCTGCGAACAAAGAGGGGCAAGAAATCCAATACGCAACAAATACATGTTGTTGGAGAAGAATCACCAAACATAGTGGAAGAAGTACGATCCGTTATGCCAACAACAAGCACGAGCAAGAAAATCAACAATGAACATCTCCAAATTAAAACTAAGTTCACAAAAGTCGAGTCATAATAGATGACTTCGTTGATAGTGTTACCGAGCATAATGTATGTATGTTAGTAATGTCTGTATTTTAATGGCTTCATTGGCTGCTTTAACTAATATATATATATATATGTTTATTATTACCTAATTAAGTGTGAATTATGCAAATAATAGCACCTTAATAATTCAAATCTAAATCGCTTAGGCTGTTGTTTATAATATCCTATCTACCCCCCCCCCTCTCTCCACCCATAAAATAACGTATATTCATCACATTTAAAACGATTAAACCATTGAATAAAAATACTCAATTAACCAACCATAAAGTAGTATTACTTAGAAACATTGAATATAAAGCCTAAAATATCCATTATAACTAACACATCTACCATTGCACGAGAAATTCGTTAAAGTAAAGACAATGTCCTAGACCGAGAAATATTGATACAAACACGAATAACTCTTACGCGAGAAATGTTTCCTCTTACGACTTTAAGGACTAACGCAACAAAAGAAATACTAAGAAACTTCAAATTTACATTTAAAAAAACAAAACATGAAAATACACTAACCCCAGGGAAGACCCATCACCGAAAACATTTTTTAAATAACAACATCCTCACTACACTTTCAAATTTACAAACAACAAGAAACCTCCTAAAAGCCAATAAGCAAATCAATACACTTTAAACATACTACTACGGTAAATAATAAGCAACATGTAAAATAGAGATTTAATTATTCCACTAATTCGACAGTACAATTGTAAGCTATCGAACGTCGACGTCAATGGCACCTCTGGAGCATCGCGCCCATCCAGAAGAGTTACAACCACACCCAAAAGAGGCCAATTGAAGCAATTCCAACCGTTCGCCGAGGATACCTTTAAAACAAACGCCCAATGCCAATGCACATCAAACTAAAAGGAACAGAAAAAACTTTGAGAAATTGCTAAGATCTTGCCGCGCCATTACAATACTACTATCTGTACGACTTTACTGAACGGGCACATCTGCATAAATTTCTGAATTGTTTGGGAGAATTGCCAATCCAAACTACAAACTGTAAGTAACAAATCATTCATTTTTACCATTGTTCAATGTTCTTACTACTCTGCCTTTGTGAACATCTCTCAATAATCTCTGATTTGGTACACTCATGCTGAGATTTGTTCGGCTAACCTGCATGCGTTTTATAATTTAGAATTCCCTCCCAAACTCCGCTACTTTGAAAGGAATATGGCCGAATTACACAAAAGAAGTATATGACAGTCATACATGGTGGTAACAAAAATAGGAAACCTGACAGCCCATCTCCCTAACCCCCATGACATAGGAAAACCATACTTGAATAATAATCGCTATGCTCGCGAGGAAGTTGTTGACTATTACTACTATTTGCTTCAACCTGGTAAACTAAGGAAAGGGTTACAAAAGACTCTGCCCACACGCTTAAGGGATGCACACCCATTAAATAAGATGAAGATGAAAATTCAATAAGTATATGCTACAAAGAGGACCTTAGTTGAAGATGTCTAACAAAATAAACCACCAATGCTCTGATTGTCGGTTGATCAGGACTCACTAGCATATAGATGCTGATGTATGGACTTGCCCTAGACTAAAAATGTACATCAGTACTCCTACAAAAAAAATAACCCAGTCACACTTGCACACACACGTTAATAAAATTTTAGTAAAAAGATTGTGATAGTGGACCATGATGAAGATGTCCTTAAAATTATTACATATATTGTACAATAACTTGAATATGTGGTATTGTGTTTACATTGACCGTATGACTTTCATGATTACTACCTGATTGACTATTTTAGAGAAAAATTGAAACAACTGATGCATTTACATACTCACAATATTCAAACAGGTCACTCATTACTCAAAGAGAGGATTATCAAACATGGACTGCCAATCTAATCAACGGGTCAAAACAATAGGTCAGAAATACGTGCCCTAAATTTAATCATTACTTTTAAAAGCAAGACCAAATCAAAGTGAGAAAACACTAACATGCTAACATCACAAATTCAATAGGACACAAACGTAAAATACTGACAGATGTAGAAAGGGCATTGCGAAGGGTGCAAAAATATACTGCCTCTACAAAGCCATCAGAAGTTGGATATATAGAACCAAAGCTGAAGAAGCGGAAAAAAAGTTGGCTACTTCAAGCTTTATCAGAGGAGAACTATAATGAAGGTAAATTGACTAAAATATATTACACTACAACTTACACACCTTTAAGTGAAGTCACCAAAGAAATATGTTATGCTAAAAAACTCAATTTTGAATTGTGAATGTAGGCGAAACAAATGTGAACTTATCAACAACATCAACTCATAAGTTGCAAAAACAATTGGATTGCATCTATTGTCATGCCATGAGGCTTGAATATGAGCCACCAACATTTTGTTGCGCAAGTGGATATATTCAGTTGGCCCCCGACGAAGTTGGAGAGGACTTATACAAATTATTTACAGATGAGTCCAAAGAAGCCATCCTATTTCGGAAACATATTCGAGCGTATAATAGCATCTTTGCTTTTACATCATTTGGAGTACAACTCAACAAAGAACTGGCATCTTCAAGGAAAGGCATTTACAGCTTTAAGGCGCAAGGACAAATCTATCACGACCTACCATCATTGATCCCGAAGGATGACAGGCCACGTTACTTCCAGCTATACTTCTATGATACAGATCATGAAGTCGCCAACAGAATGTCAATACTACAAGATGCTAATTTATCCGAGGAAGTCATGAAAAAAATCAGGAAAATAATGGAGCAAAATCCATATGCAAAATTTTTTACACAACTAAAGCATCATTCAAATTTTCAGAACTTAGAAATACGCATAGCTGCAAATGCTTCTTTAGATCAACGGGTGTATAACAAACCTTCAGTAGATCAAGTTGCGGCAATTTGGGTAGACGGAAACAATCCAAATATCTCATTTGAAAGAGATATTGTAGTACACGAACATTCCGGGAACAAACATCGAGTAAAACATTATTATGGTTGTTATGATCCTCTACAGTATCCATTGATTCTACCAAATGGTGAAGGAGGTTGGCATCAAGGAATAGTGAAATCTCACAATCCAAATATCACCATTCCTACATATACAACAACAGCTGCCAACATATGCCCTCGATCATATGCCAGTGCAACAGAGGTTTTGAACAATGAAGAACAAGGTTAGCACATTTACATTCTGCCATCAATCAAGTAATTCACCCCCCACACATAGTATAATAAGAAACTCAATTAATTTTCCGACTAACAGCTTCATATGGAGAACAAATCTAAGGCAACAAATATCAAACAACAACAATATATGTAATTGCTTAAAAAACATGTTCCAGAGGGGTAGTAATTAAATTCAATGAATGTGGTAAACTAACACAACTACATGCAAAGAAATATATTCTACTATAATATACTTGTGAACGTGATGTGGTAATAATATAATATTCAAAGAAGGCCACACATACCTCATGATAAACTGCACTCAAAACTAAACTTATTTAAATTATTTGTAGGTGTACGACGCGAAACAAGAGGTTATGTTTCATGCAGAGAGTACTACTGCTATAAACTACAAGTACGAACGAATGACAAAACAATTTTGTTGCTATCTGGTAGATTGTTACAACAATTTGTAGTGGACATGTACATAAAATTGGAAACCACGCGACTTGAATATTATAGATTCGAACAATCAAATTACAGAAGAGAGATATTACAAGGTATCGTTGATAGTGTTACGGCAGGCGAATGCAGAGGAGAGAAGGTCGGGCAAAGGGTCTTACTACCAGGGTCATTCATTGGAGGCCCGAGGGATATGCGACGACGCTATATGGATGCTATGGCACTGGTACAAGAGTATGGAAGACCAGATCTATTTATCACCATGACGTGTAACCCTGAATGGACAGAGATTCAAGAACAACTATGTGCGGGGCAAGTCGCTCAAGATCGTCCAGATTTGGTGACTAGAGTGTTTAGGGCAAAATTGCAGGACCTGAAAGACCAAATATTTAAAAAGGAAATTTTTGGCCCGACAGCAGCACATGTTTTTGTAGTTGAATTTCAGAAGAGAGGCCTACCACATATACACCTACTACTAATTTTAAAACAAGGTCATAAAATAACATCAGCAGATCAGTATGATCGATATATTTCGGCAGAGTTGCCTGCTAAGGATAAGCAGCCAGAATTACATGAATTGGTTATTAAGCATATGATTCATGGTCCTTGTGGTATAAAACGACAATCAAGTCCATGTATGAAGGACGGACAATGTAAGTTTCACTACCCCCGAGCATTCAACAACAAAACAATACAAAGGAGAGATGGATATCCTATTTACCGAAGAAAAAATGATGGGAGGACAAGCGAGGTTCGAGGAATGAAGATGAATAATCAGTGGGTTGTCCCTTATAATCCATATTTATTGAAGAGATATAATTGCCACATTAATGTAGAGGTTTGCTCAGGTGTTAAAGCAATAAAGTACCTGTACAAGTATATATATAAAGGACATGATAAGTGTGCAGTTTACATTGAGTCAGACGAGGGTGAAAAATTCATAGATGAAATTCGAAGCTTTCAAGATGCACGTTGGGTGTCACCACCTGAAGCGATGTGGAGGATTTACGAGTTTACTCTAAGCGAAATGCAACCAGCTGTTATAAACCTACAACTACATCTACCCGGTAAACAAGCAGGTATCCTAAAACATATTCTCAGATAGTATAAATACAAGTCACAGTTCTCCAATCAAAGCGATTAATATTAATAATAAGCTTCTGTTTTAAAATGTAGTCTACTATTGGAAGAAGCAAAATCTTCAAAATATTGCAGGCTCCCAGTTTGTACAACAAACTATGCTTACTGAGTATTTCAGGATGTGCTTGAATGACACTGACGCTCGCAATTATCTATATAGAGAATTCCCCAAGCATTATGTTTGGAATTCCCAATCTAAAGTTTGGACTAAAAGAAAATCGCGCTCCGTGATCGGCAGAATAAATGTTGGTAAGTATTACACTTTGATATGTGGCATTTATGAGTTAAACAATAAACTAACTAGGATGATCGAAATCACAGCTAATCCTAGAGAAGGAGAAAGGTATTACGAGAGATTATTATTAAATCATGTTCGAGGTCCGACATCATTTGAAGACTTACTCACTGTTAATGGAATACATTGTCATACTTTCAAAGAAGCTGCCAAGGAAAGAGGTTTATTAGAATCAGATGATAGCATTTCAGAATGCTTACGCGAGGCTGTAATCTTTAAGATGCCTGTAGCTCTTCGAATGTTGTTTGCGACAAATTTAGTTCATTGCAACCCAACAGATGTAAGAAGACTATGAGACACATATTATAACGATATGTCAGACGACTTTCAGAGGACCCATGCCAAATCAGCCGAGGCCAAACTCCAAAGTACGTTGAAAAGTGTAAATTCATACTTGGAGAGTATGGGTCAAAGTGTTGCAAAATTTGATATGCCACAAATCCAACAAGAATTACATCAAGGTGACACATATGAATGCCGAGAAATAGTCGAAGAAAGGTCTGTGAAGGTGCCAACTGAAGATATGGAGGCACAATCAAAGTTGAATGAACAACAAACGCAAGCATTCAAGACTATCTTGCAAAGGACCGACTCTGGAACACCAGGATTATTCTTTGTAGATGGACCCGGTGGAACTGGAAAAACATATCTATATCGGGCATTGCTGGCACATATAAGATCAAGAGGTATGATAGCATTGGCATCCGCCAGCAGCGGGGTAGCAGCAGCAATCTTACCGGGAGGTCGTACAGCTCACTCGAGATTTGGAATACCTCTACAAGCTAATGAATCAACAATGACAAATATGTCAAAACAAAATGGCGGGGCTAAACTTATTAAACAAGCCAAACTAATAATATGGGACGAAGCACCAATGGCTAAGAGACACGCAATTGAAACAGTCGACAGAAGCTTTCGTGATATAATGGAAAAAAATGTACCTTTTGGGGGAAAAGTAATGGTATTTGGAGGTGACTTTCGACAAGTGCTACCGGTGGTTCCAAAATCAACACGAGCAGAGACAGTGGATGCAAGTTTGGTAAGGTCATATTTGTGGCCTTTGATGGAAAAAATTCATTTAACATCCAACATGAGGGCAAGAACAGATCCAAATTTTAGCAACTTCTTGATTCGTGTTGGAAACGGCGAAGAGAACACAATACGGGATAATTTAATACTACTACCACAACAAATAGTGGTCCACCCAACTGGTCAGGGTAAGGCAGAAGAATGCTTGGTAACAGAAATTTTTAAAGGGCTACAACAAAATTACAGATCGGCAAAGTTTATTACTGAAAGGGCAATCTTAGCAAGTCGAAATGAATTCGTAGATAATATAAATGAAATGATGATTACTCGATTCCCAGGAGAAACCAGAACATATATCAGTTTCGACTCGGCAGAAGATGATACCAATAATTACTATCAAGAAGAATACCTAAATACATTAACTCCAAATGGTCTGCCGCCACATAGGTACATCAATATACTCAATCTGTCGTTAACATTTTAATTATTATATTAGTTTGAATTCCTGTACCAGATCAACAACAAAGGTGTGGTAAAATACATAACATCATATGTATCTTTAAATTAAACATATTAGGTTGGTTTTGAAAGAGAATGCGCCTATCATGATGCTGCGCAATTTAGACCCATCAAATGGTTTATGCAATGGGACACGATTGATTTGTAGAGGTTTTGACAACAATGTCGTGCATGCAGAAATAACTACAGGAGAATTTGCAACAAAACATGTGTTTATACCAAGAATCCAATTATCGCCGCCTGAGAATGAAGGATATCCTTTTAAATTTATTCGGAAGCAATTTCCAATACGTCTATGTTTTGCCATGACAATAAATAAGGCTCAAGGTCAAACGATACCTAATGTGGGATTATATCTTCCCCAACATGTTTTCTCCCATGGGCAACTATATGTAGCTTTATCAAGAGGAATCTCAATGGCAACAACAAAGGTATTGGTTATGACTGAACAACCAGATACGGGGACAGGGACATATGCAAGAAATATCGTATACAAGGAAGTATTAGGTTAGCGACGCTTTCAATCTTTAGTAGCGTAATCAAGTTGGAATAAAAATAACTTATTACATGTAGCTAATGAAAATGTCTTTGGTCATATTTATAGGTCCTGTTGAAAAAGAGACGAGCTAACCATCAAAATGCAACTTCTGAAGCAAATACAACTATTGTGAAAAATTTGATATTGATAGTTAGGATACAAATGACTTCAAACTCTTGGAAGGTATCCTCTATTTTAGAACAATGTCATAAACACAACCAATTGTAGCTTCGAGCAGTATTACATATCCGCTTATTCATTTGAACTTCCACACCATTAAATGCATCTAATAAATTCAAGACAATTTTCAGAAATGGAGTATTATTTCAAAACAAATATCTGGTAGCTAACGAACATCCATACAAACAAATCTCTTAAGACCTATGCCATATATTGAACAAATAGAGTGTGTATGCTTTAATGCTGCCCAATTGTAAGCATGAACTAATATTTGGTAACTAAGAAACATCCATACCAAGAAATACCTTAAAGACATATTCCATATATGGAACAAAACGAGTATTCATTCTTTAATGCTTCACAGTTGAACACATCACGAGACTAGCCAACCACGTGCAACGCACGTGCAGTGAATCTAGTATATATAAATGATGAATAAAACCTTTTCGATTTGGTTTTGATGGAATTGTTTATGCATATTTTACATGGATGACAAATCACTATCATTTGGTCCAAATCCTATTCACTATCACTATCATTCTCGACACAAATTAGTATTACCTTCTCTCTTTTCAATTGTAGATTTGAATGTGTCAAAGACGGACAATTAATGTTGTTTTGACAATTTATTGCATGATTTGAATTCGAACAATTCGTCTAAAACAAAAGTGATCAATGTAGGAATTTGTGTTATACTTCTATTCTTGCTACTATTTCCATTTTATGATCAACATCGTGTATATATGAGAATTTTCTTATCGGTTAAATAAAAAACCGAGCCGTTAGGATCAAAAACCGATAATAAATATCTTATTGGTTTAGTTATCGATTTAACGTGTTCACAAATCATAGTATTGTTATATATATGTATTACTATATATGGTTATAATAAAAATTATTGCGAAAACCAATAATTATTTATTAAAAAGTACTCATCCAAATAATATTTTCAAAAAAGAATTACTATTATAAGTTAATAATAACTGATTATACAGTCTTAAATGTAAACATTTTTAATATTGTTCAAATTAGAAGTCAAATTTTAGTCAATTTAAAGTACTAATTAAGTAAAGACCAAATGACAATTTTACGGAAAAAAATATATTTAAAAAAAGGGTTAATTTATGTTTTTCCTATTCCATGTCAAATTTTTTTTAGAAAAAAGAAGAGGGGAGGGGGGGGGGGAGTTAAACAAGAGCCGACTTCTAATAGCAAATCTTTAATTATTTTCCCATTTCATCTCAAATTGTATTAACGGTATTTCTAATTATTGTTTTTCCCAATTCATCTCAAATTAGACTTAACAAAAGACTACTTCAATTATAATCAGGAAACGCTATTTCTAAACTTGTATAAATAGACGTAACATCCAACCTAAAATTATTCTCACCAAATTTTTACTTTTCACTTTCTCTCTTTCTTTGTTCGTTTGTTTGTTCGTTCGTTCAAGTATAATTACATACTAATTAATAATGGTGACAAATACTGATCCAGAATTGGGAGTTGTAGCAGGGGAATCATCAACAGAGAATGCATTCAAAGACGAATATGTTCCCCCCTGGCACAAACAAATTACATTGAGGGCAATGTTCACCGGATTCATCCTCAGTGTCGTATTCAACTTCATTGTTTGCAAACTCAATCTCACTACTGGTGTTATCCCTTCTCTCAATGTCGCTGCTGGACTATTGGGATTTGCCGGAATTAAATCATGGACTGCTCTTACTCAGAAATTTGGAATGTTGAAACAGCCTTTTACTAGACAGGAGAATACCGTCATACAGACGTGTGTCGTTGCTTCTTCTGGCATTGCTTTTAGCAGTGGCACAGCAAGTTATATGCTGGGAATGAGTCCATACATAGCATCTCAGGCTGATGCAGGAAATTTACCAATTAATACTAAGAATCTTGCTGTTTCTTGGATGCTTCCTTATCTTCTTGTTGTTAGCTTTGCCGGTTTATTCTCAATTGTTGCATTAAGAAAGATGATGATAATGAAGTACAAGTTGACGTATCCAAGTGGAACCGCAACTGCATACTTGATCAACTGTTTCCACACTCCTAAAGGAGCAGAGCTCGCAAAGAAACAAGTTGGTGCCTTGTTCAAATCGTTTGGGTTCAGCTTTATATTTGGGGCTGTTCAGTGGATATTTGCACGTGATGAAGGCTGCGGATTTGCTAGCTTGCATACATTTGGTTCCCAAGCATATGCCAAAAGGTTATATTTTGATTTCTCATCCACCTATGTTGGAGTTGGTATGCTTTGCCCCTACATGGTCAACATATCATTGCTAACGGGTGCTATAGTCTCGTGGGCTTTCATGTGGCCAATGATTGAAGCAAAGAAAGGTGACTGGTACTCTGCCCATTTATCTGCAACGAGTCTTCATGGTATCCAAGGATACAGGGTATTTATCGCAATTGCCATGATGCTTGGTGATGGTCTTTTCCATTTTGCCTACATGTTGGTGGTCACAATCTCAAGTTTCACAAAGAGGAAGAATAGTACTCAGCAAGATTGTTCAGAAGAAGACGATGAAGATGAAAAGATACGAAACGAATACTTCTTGAAAGACCAGATTCCCAACTGGGCAGCCGCTGGGGGATACGCTGGAATTGCAGTTGTGTCGATCATTGTGGTACCCGTGATCTTCCACTCGCTCAAATGGTATCATGTTTTGGTTGCCTATTTAATTGCACCTATTTTGGCCTTCTGCAATTCTTATGGAGCCGGCCTCACTGATTGGTCCCTTGCCTCAAATTACGGAAAAATTGCAATTCTTACATTTAGTTATTGGGTTGGTTTGGAGAATGGTGGAGTGATTGCTGGACTTGCCTCATGTGGTTTGATGATGAGCATACTAGACACAGCTTCTACCTTGATGGGAGATTTCAAGACTGGTTACTTAACCCTTACATCCCCGCGTTCCATGTTCTTTAGTCAACTCATTGGAACTGCCATGGGATGTGTCATAACCCCTCTAGTCTTCTGGATTTTCAACTCTGCCTATCGATTAGGTGATCCAGAAGGTTCATACCCTGCACCATATGCTCTCATGTATCGTGGAATCGCCCTACTTGGCGTCGAAGGTTTTGGAAGTCTACCCAAACATTGCCTCAACCTCGCTATTTGCTTCTTTGTCGCTGCTATTCTCATCAACCTAGTTACTCAACTGCTGAAGAAATTTGAGACCAAATATAGAATTTATCGATTCATTCCAAGTCCAATGTGCATGGCCATACCATTTTACCTTGGAGGCTACTTTGCCATCGACATGTGTCTAGGCTCATTGATCCTATTCGGTTGGCAAATGTATAACAAGCAGAAGGCTAAAGATTTTGGACCTGCAGTGGCTTCTGGTCTAATATGTGGTGACTCATTGTGGGGAATTCCAGCATCTATTCTTGCTCTGGCTGGTGTCAAAGCTCCATTTTGCTTGAAATTTTAGTCACAGACCACTTTTAGCCCTTCCACTTAAGGCTAATTAGAGTCTTTTGGTTGTCTTTAACAGTCCAAATTAGGTTATTTTAGCTCATCATGTTATTTTAAGGTATCTGCATTTTGTTACTTAGTAGTGTTAAAACAAGTTCTGTTTCTCTATATCCTTGTTGTTTTCAAATTTATAGACGTATTTTGTGTGTTTTAATCTTCAACATATACTTAGTTGTATTTTTGTTCTCTCGGTAGTCTGTGAATATCTCACAATGTGAATGAAAATAAGGCGCAAATGGAGTCAAATACACAGTGTAAACACACATACCTGCAGATTAACATTGCAAAAACAAGCTTTAAGCTTTGTAATTACAGAACAGACGAGGCTCTGCCTCTATTTTGTTTATGATAGTTCCTGTTCTGTTTCCCACAAATAACAAATGAACAATAAAGACATGATTCAGGTGCTAATATTTATAAAATATAAGAGTTTGTTACATGTGATGAACATAAAAACTACTCAATCATACATAACCAAATATTAAATAAGTGTTTTTGGATCGATCAAACTCTCGTTGAAAGTAATTATACTAACCATGTCACCACGTTTAACCAATGAATCACACCATAACCGAAATCTTCCTTTGGATGTCCTTAATGAATCACTTATTGCATAGCGGCAGTGAAATAGTACAACACCATCTGCGCTACACAAACACGGGCAACTTTTATTTTAAATAATTGATTCCAAAATTCCTTGACACCATAGTCTTTCATTGCCCACAACGTAAAAGTATACGCCCCATCAACCTCACAAGCGGAAGAAAAGCAAAGAATTCCATCTAATACTGAAACATGATAGTCCCTGGAGATAGCAAGGGAAAGATAAGAGTACATTTGCTCTGACAATGGTATCTTTGTATATACCTCATTTGAAATATTGAAAGAACCCACACATAGACGGCAAGGAATCCAATGAAATGCCTCCATGTACAAATGACAAAGGATCCGCAACACCAAACGTATTCTTCAAAGTGCGAAAGATGTGGGTGTCTCGATATAGACATTTCTCCTAGAACCACTTTTTAGTGCGAGAATTCCACATTGTGTTTGTGATTTGCTGTTGTGAATTGCAAATATCTTATAGTCATGAGTAGTTGGGTCATACACAAATCCAAAAGTAGACTTCCTTAATCCAAATATCAAATCATTCAAATAGGCTAAGGTGACCCTTTCATTCTCAATCACTGATATTGCTCTTTGCTAAATACTTTGGTTATTTAGGCATTATCAGATTTGCTTGCTCTGCTTCCAACATCTCCCCAAGACTTTAATCTCAGGTGAAGCTCCAATAGATTACCAAAAGATTTGGCACCAAATTGCGACAAGCCACCATTTTTCACCAATTTCATTTCTAAAAGTGCAATGAAGCGTTAACAATACACCCTAACATTAAAATTGGTTAATGCTTTCACATTAACAATTAACATCATTTACACAAATTATCTCACACAAGATATGATCCACGTGAAGGATGCTTACCAATTGAGCAACCCTCTCTTGTCAACTAAACTGAAATTGAGCGTCTGCAGATATTCACACATACAAATGCACCTGACAACGTCACTAATAGACGGGATTTCAATAGGCACACAGCACTACACACATTCACAAATTTGGAAGTTCACTAATCTTACAAAGTGTAGGAACTCTTTATTCATTCATAACATCAGCCTGGTGTCTCACACAGACTTCATAAATAATCACAGGCACAAAATTTTGCAGGACAGACTGCAATTCCGTCATTCACTCACCTAGTCTCCTTTCATCGACTGCAGAGACACTAATACTCACACACATCTCCACCTTCGTCCCATATATGCCCAACTAGTGTCTTTTTCTTTGTTTTTGCCAATTAGGCCTGTTTCATCACTGAGGTATAACTAAACAAAACATGTCCAATAAATACTCGAAATTTGTAGTACCAAGTTAAAGTTTTCGAGCATCTAACCATGCGTTTGACAATAGATTTTGAAAACTTATCATCAAACATCTGTTTTTGCTTGAAAGTTTAGTCACAGACCACTTTAGCCCTTCCACTTAAGTTTTATAGTCTTTCGATTGTCTTTAATAGTAAAAATTAGGTTATTTTAGCTTAACATGCTTAAGGCATGTGTATTTTATCATTATTTATTAGTGTTAAGACAAGTCCGGTCTCTATATATTCTTGTTGTTTTCAAATTTATAAACGGATTTTGAATGTTTTAATAGCAATTTTGTTTCATTTCTATTGCACATCTAATGAAGTTGAACCTTTAAACTGCAACATATACTTTGGTGTACTTTGTTCCTTGAAATATCTAACAATGTGAATGAAAAAAGGCTCAAATGGAGTCAACTACTAATATATATGTTGTCTCTGATGGGATTTGAACGTGACACGTCATAGTGCTCAATCCACTTTATTGATCACTAAGCCACACCCTTGGTTTCTACTCGTCTTTCACCTCTTTTTCGTTGTCATTTTCGTGTAGCTGGACAATTTATGATTTTTGTTTCCTACGTATGTTGCTCCCTTTCCATTTGCATCTCATGACTAGCCAAATGATGCACGCTCTTTGATGAACTATTCAAAGCTGCTAAAGTAAGCCTTTCATTCTCAATAATTGATATCACCGATATGACAAACTAGGCGACAAAGTAAAAATCAGTCTTTAATTGTGAACTTACTAATTTACATCCATTTCGATGACATTAGCTAAAGGAATTGGAAAAATTATCAACCAGGTATAACAAGTCACGACCATCGCCCACTTCGTGAATCAGTTGGTGTCTGAAATTCTGAAGCCCAAAAGTTTTTGAGGAAACTACTGCATCACCAGTCTCGCTAGAGGATCGATCATCTTCAACAAAGCATTGAGATGTGACGAGGATATATTTGGATGACTTGCTGCATATCAATTAAGTTGCAAATTATGTTTTCATGAGAAATTGATACACTGATTCCAGGGTATTTTACTGAGGCCTTGGAGTGTCAATGTGAAGAGAAAATCGACATTCTTAAGTAGTGCTCCCGGAAGCCTTTTCAAATGTTGTAAGAATATGTATTTACTGTTGTAATTACAGAACAGAGGAAGCTCATAGAGCTCTGCTCTATTTGG